AAATGTGTTTGGCAGTTTTCCTTCCCTTTCTATTTCATGGAACAGTTTAAGGAGGGTTGGTATCAGTTCTTCTTTAAAGGTCTGATAGAATTCAGCAGAGAATCCATCAGGTCCTGGACTTTTCTTTTTGGGGAGACTCTTGATTGCTGCTTCAATTTCATTTTGTGTTATAGGTCTATTCAGGTGATTAATTTCCTCTTGGTTCAGTTTTGGATGATCATATGTATCTAGAAATCTGTCCATTTCTTTAGATTTTCAAATTTATTTGAATATAGGTTCTCAAAGTAGTCTCTGATGATTTCCTGGACTTCCATGGTGTTTGTTGTTATCTCCCTTTTGCATTCCCTAATTCTACTAATTTGGGTTTTTTCTCTCCTCATTTTAGTCATGTTTGCCAGGGGTCTATCGATCTTGTTTATTTTTTCAAAGAACCAACTTTTTGTTTCATTAATTCTTTGTATGGTTTTTTTGGTTTCTATTTCGTTGATTTCAGCTCTTATTTTTATTATTTCTCTCCTTCTATTTGTTTTGGGATTTGCTTGTTCTTGTTTTTCTAGGAGTTTGAGATGTATCATTAGGTCATTGATTTGGGATCTTTCAATCTTTTTAATATATGCACTCATGGCTATAAACTTTCCTCTCAAGACTGCCTTAGCTGTGTCCCATAGGTTCCAGTAGGTTGTGTTTTCATTTTCATTGACTTCTAGGAATCGATCAAGGATCTTAATATCAGACCCCAAACTCTTAAGTTGATACAAGAAAGAGTAGGAAATACTCTGGAGTTAGTAGGTATAGGTAAGAACTTTCTCAATGAAACCCCAGCAGCACAGCATAAGAGATAGCATAGATAAATGGGACTCATAAAACTAAAAAAGCTTCTGTTCATCAAAAGAAATGGTCTCTAAACTGAAGAGAACACCCACAGAGTGGGAGAAAATATTTGCCAATTATACATCAGACAAAGGACTGATAACCAGAATATACAGGGAACTTAAAAAACTAAATTCTCCCAAAACTAATGAACCAATAAAGAAATGGGCATGTGAACTAAACAGAACTTTCTCAAAAGAAGAAATTCAAATGGCCAGAAAACACATGAAAAAATGCTCACCATCTCTAGCAATAAAGGAAATGCAAATTAAAACCACACTAAGATTCCACCTCACCCCTGTTAGAATAGCCATCATCAGCAACACCACCAACAACAGGTGTTGGCGAGGATGCGGGAAAAAGGAACCCTCTTACACTGTTGGTGAGAATGTAGACTAGTACAACCACTCTGGAAAAAAATTTGGAGGCTACTTAAAAAGCTGGACATAATCTACCATTTGATCCAGCAATACCACTCTTGGGGATATACCCAAAAGACTGTTACTCCAGAGGCACCTGCACACCATGTTTATTGCGGCACTATTCACAATAGCCAAGTTATGGAAACAGCCAAGATGCCCCACACTGACGAATGGATTAAGAAAATGTGGTATCTATACACAATGGAATTTTATGCAGCCATGAAGAAGAACGAAATGTTATCATTCGCTGGTAAATGGATGGAATTGGAGAACATCATTCTGAGTGAGGTTAGCTGGCCCAAAAGACCAAAAATCGTATGTTCTCCCTCATATGTGGACATTAGATCAAGGGCAAACACAACAAGGGGATTGGACTATGAGCACATGATAAAAGCGAGAGCACACAAGGGAGGGGTGAGGATAGGTAAGACACCTAAAAAACTAGCTAGCATTTGTTGCCCTTAATGCAGAGAAACTAAAGCAGATACCTTAAAGCAACTGAGGCCAATAGGAAAAGGGGACCAGGAACTAGAGAAAAGGTTAGATCAAAAAGAATTAACCTAGAAGGTAACATCCACGCACAGGAAATCAATGTGAGTCAATGCCCTGTATAGCTATCCTTATCTCAACCAGCAAAACCCCTTGTTCCTTCCTATTATTGCTTATACTCTCTCTACAACAAAATTAGAGATAAGGGCAAAATAGTTTCTGCTGGGTATTGAGGGGGGGGAGCGGGAGGGGGTGGAGTGGGTGGTAAGGGAGGGGGTGGCGGCAGGGGGGAGAAATGAACCAATCCTTGTATGCACATATGAATAATAAAAGAAAAACGAAAAAAAAAAAAACAATGACATTAAGGGCTTTTTCAGCTGTATCAGCTCTTTCAAGACCAAGTCTAAATAAAAATATTAAAGTTAAAAAAAAAATCTCAGCTCTTTTTAGCTGTTAGTGTTGGGAAAACTGAATAGCTACATGCAATAGAATGAACTTGAATTTCTATTTCATGCTATATATAAAAATGAGCTCAAAATGGATCAAAGATCTGCATGTAATAGCTAACACTGTAATTCTTAGAACCAAACAGGAATAAACCCCTGTAATCTTAGACTAGACAATGATTTGTTATATGGCCAAAAGCATAAGCAATGGCAAAAATTAGCTTTTAATCAAAGTTAAAATTTTGTGCTTCAAGATTAAAAACTTTTATGCTTCAAAAGATACTAACAAATAAGTAAAAAGACAACCATCATAATGGGAGGATATTTTTAAGAATTCCTGCAACTAAATAACAAAAACATAATTCATTTTTAAAATGGGCAAAGGATCTGAATAGACAAGAAGATTGAAAAATTGTCAATGAACACATAACAAGATGCTCAGCATCATTAGTCATTAGGGAAATCAAAGCACAGAGAGACACCATTTTATATCCTCTAGGACTTCTATCAGAAAAAACACAAATAATAATTGAACCTTCAGGCATACTATTGGGAATGTGAAATAGTGTAGTTGCTTTGGAAAACTGGTAGCTCCTTAGGAATTAAACATAGATTTACCATCTGACCCAGAAATTCCATTCTTAGCCAAAAGAACTAAAAATATTTCTACATGCAGAAATTTGTATATAAATTCATTATTCACAGTAACTAAAAAATGTAAACAACCCAAATAGCTATCAACTAATGAATGGGTGAAGAAAATGTGCTATTTCCATATAATGAAATATTATTTGGTGATAAGGTGGAATGAAGTTCTGATACACACTAACATGAGTAAGTTTTGAAAACAGCTTGTTAAGTTAAAGAAACCAGACCCTAACATATTGTATGATGTATTTATATGCAGTGTCTAGAATACACAAATACATAGAGATAGAACATAGATGGATTCTTAAAAGGGACTAGGGGGAAATAAGGAGTGACTGGTGACTGCTTCTGGATATGCAGTTTCTTTTTTGGGATGATGAAAGTATTCTAGAATTAGCAAGTAGTGGTAGTTGCACAATTTTGTGAATATACTAAAAGACAATGAATTTTAAAAAAAGGAAAAGCCAAAAGTCCTACTGCATTCTTTATTAAAAAAAATTTAAATGTCAGCATAGGAAGAGGGATCCCTGTTGTTTATAGCTATCTTTATTTTCAACTTTGGACTTTGGAAAATTGTTTCTTTTTCAGATTTCAGCAAGCTATATCTCATTAGTTCTATCTGGTCAAAGTATTATAAGTAATGTGACAACAGAGAAGTGCTTCTTAAATTCTATCAACAGGGTTCATATTTAATTTTGAAAGTGTATTTCAAATTATTTTAAAAAATGGAATGTGAAAGAACATATACCCTGAAATGTTTTATTACTGTTTATCAGATTTTAACACAAGGAATACTGTGTGTTAACTCATGGTTCCAAGTTGTTTCTTTTTGTTGATGCCTTTAATCAAGTCTTTCATGTCATTTCAGTGTGTATATTTGGACATTCGTGAAATGTTTTATTAAACAGGAAGGTTGCAGCTCTATAGTGGTTTGAAAGCAACAAATGTTCTCTTTCATAAAGTAGAAGTGAGTACACTGTACTTTTAGTGTAGATGAGAATTTTCTGGATACAACTAGCCAAAACCAAGTTCAGAGTACTTGAAATTTTTGTTTATCAGAATATCATCATTTTCAGTTCTCACTGATTTTCATCTTAATAGGAAAATGCGAATTTGATGCACAAATTAGGATAAGTGAAATGTAAAAATGTCAAACTCAGAAACACAGAATAGAATGGTGGTTCCCAGGGCCAGGGGTGGGGTAGGATGAGGGATATGGTGAGGTGGGGGGTAGGGATTGGGAAGAAATTAGTCAAAGAACACAAACTTTCAGTTAGAAGGAATAAATCAGGAGATGTGTTGTACAACATAGTGACTATAATGAATAACAATGTATTGTATACTTGAAAATTACCATGTTTATTAGATTTTAAGTATTTTTATAACCAAGAAAAAAAAGTATGTGAGCAAATGTATATATTAATTAGCTTGATGTAGCCATTTAACTGTGTGTGTGTATATATATTAAAACATGTTGTACACCATGAATATATTTGGATAATTTTCTTTCATTTAAAAAGTGACAAATAACTTTGTTCAGTTGGTCTGTAAAATTTTCCTAACGCTTTGCTCCCTTTTCCATTTTGTCTCCACTCTCATTCTTTAGGGATGTTTCAAAACATTTTTTCCCACAAAAATCTGACGGGGAAAGGGAAACTTCTGGTTGAAAAACTACTTGCTGACTTTAAATAGATAGTGTCTTTTTTTTGAGGCTTTATCTCAGAGGTTGCAGTGCATGTTCATAAGGCTATTTGGTGTTATTCCTAAGGTGAATATTTGCTGTTTCACCCGTGGTGTTTGGATGCTGATACATATCTTTAATCTCTTTTTGCATACAAAGCTACTGAGTCACTGCATTCTTCTTTGTGGGACTTCATAGAAGCAGGCTTAATATAGCATGTGTCATTAGATTGCCTCCTCTTATTCAGAAACTTCTGTGTGATGTGCTTATAGGCTAAGTAGACAGGAGTGCTGCAGGATTGTGTACTACAGGATATTGGATGGAAGAATGTAGCAAAAGAATCACATAAATTATTGAGTGCTCCGTACGTGTGGTTCCTTATTAATATACATTGGACCTTGATATGCAAAAACAAGTTATGTTTCCATTTTGTTCTCTTCAAAGGTGATCATGGAGGAAGCACTTTACTCCCACCAACTGTCACAAATGAATTTCCAGAATATGGGACCATGGAGGAAGGCGGAGAAGGCCTAAGAGCTTCTTTGGAGTTTGGTGCAGATTCTCTGCCATGTTGCTCACCAGGGCAGCAGGATGTCCATCTTCTTGCTGGCCAAGACTCTGGGCTCAACAGTGTTACCGAAGGACCAAAAGATGTCAGAGAGGCCTCCTCTCAAGGTCACCTCAAGGAACAAAGTTTACAACACCTAGACTCTTTGATTTCAGCTCTGAAAGCCACTGAAGCCAGAATAGCTTCAGGAACATTACAGGCTACAAAGGTACTGGACAAAGATATTTCTAGTTTTTCAGTTCAGCAGGTAAAAAAAGAGCCAGACATTGCCAGTCATAAAACACAGAGAACCAACAAATTAATCCCTGCTGGCCAAGAAAAATCATCAGATATACCTCTTTCAGCTGAAGTAATGACTGAGGAAAAATTTTATTTGAGCATCCAGAAGGATCTGACTGCACTGTTAGCTGGAGAAGCTCAGGAAGAGCTTTCCCAGGTAACTAATAATGACAGAGAAGGGGTTCTCTATGTGCAGGAGCCAGAATGTCCTGTGGCCTCCCTGCAGAGCTCAACAGTGACCTGTAACTCCACCGGCAGTGTTGGTGTTTTGAAAGAGCAGACATCTGACCTCAGGAGAGAGTACCCAGGAGGATATGATCGAGGTGGCCCCATGGGACGCCCAGGCCGGATCAAACATGTGGAATTTCAAGGAGTAGAGATATTGTGGACAGGAGGAGAGAAGAGAGAGCCCCAGCATCCTTCAGACTTTGAGACATCACTGGAAAGGACCATCCCTCCTGCAAGCAAAGAGTTTTCCAAAGCGCCAAGCCATCGCGTCTCAGCTTCTGGCTTACGTCATTCCGTTGGTTTAACAGGGAGTGTTTGGGATGAAACCTGGAAAGCTCCTTCAGAGATGCATGGTACTAGCTCAGGGACATTGTCACCTGTGCCTCTTGTTTGGAGTGGAGAAGATGAGGTCTTCCTGAAGGAAAACAAAGAACCTCTTCAAAAGAATCCTGAACTCAACCGAGACAAAGAAAGGTGAGCTCCCAGAATAGCCCTGGTATGTTTGTGATGCCTGTAACAATTTCCAGAAAACCATTGCCCCATTGTTGATGTGAGAACTCAACTCTAGATATCATAGTCCTGCCTGACCCACAGTTTGCTTTCTAAGATCACAGTTTCCCATGATCAACTAAAATAGTAAATGGAGAATTGCATAAATAACAATTCATAAGTGTTAAATAACTTTCACTGCAGTGTATTGTTATTAGTTGTTACCTGTGACTATGCAAAATTATTAATTAATAAATTAAGCTTTATTACAGGTAGATATGCATAGGAAAAATCCTGTACTTAGGGCTCAGTATTGAACTTGGTTTTGGGGATCTACTAAGCGTCTTAGAATGTATTACCTGTGGATAAGAGGAGACTGCGTTACACTGGATCCTCATCACAGAATGAAGAAAAGTTATTGTAAGCCTTCTCCCCTCCCTCCTTGCAGTACTGGGGTTTGAACTCAGGGCTTCATGTTTGCCAGGCACGCTACCATTTGAACCATGCCTCCAGCCCTTTTTTCTCTGATTATTTTTGAGATAGGGTCTCACTTTTTGTTCAGGCTGGCTTGGACTGTGATCCTCTTAATTTAGGCTTCCTGCTATAGCTGGAGTGATAGACACATACCACTATATCCAGCTTATTTTGTTTAAATGGGGTTTCACAAACTTTTTGCTTAGACTGGCCTCCAACTGCCATCCTTCCATTCTCAGCCTCCCAAGTAGCTGTGATTAAAGGTGTGAGCCACTAGTGCCCAGTTAGGGTCTTTTTAGATTCTAAGTTTCTAAGACATGAAAGTGATCTTGCAATGAAGTTGTCCCTTAGGCATGGATCAGGGAAACAGAGTGCTGAAGAGCCTGTGAACATTCAACCTTGTGAATCCATTTATGACATTTTCTTGTTTTGACAGGTTTCAAATCTTTTAACATCAAGTCCACTAAAACCTTGACAGTTATTTTAATAATATGGAAAGATTTGGACTCTCCTGACATGTCCCCTAAATTACTCCCTAATTTAGGCCTTTCATCTATGTGCAGTGTAGTGTGTATGCTGTCTGCAGTGTAACCTGTAGTCAAGGATGAACACAGAAGTTCTCGGCTTGGCCCACTGTTTTCTGTGTCTAGAAAGGATATCTCAGAGGGTCAGAAATAGAACTTAAGTTTTGTTGCATTTCTTATGAGCAGCTTGCGTTTTGACTTAGGGCCCATGTAAGGAAACTTGGCGTCACATGGTATTTCCTGATCTTTTCCTATGTTTCTGACATCCATGCCAGCTTAGAGCCTGGGTAAATGGAAGACATAGCCCATCTTTCTTCACTCCTGATTTTAGTCTGACCACACTGTGTTTCTTTTGGCAATCATTTATTTGTTATGTACTGTACTTTAAATGTATACCTTCTTTTCTTCTGTCATTCCTCATGACATATTCCAGTTTACATAGGAGAACGTCTGTGTTGAAACTGAAATGACTTTCCATTTTGCTTTTTTCTGTTTTGTCTTCTTGTTTCATATAAGGAGATGCTCTTTCCTTACAGTTAACAGATCCACTGAAAGTTATGGTCCTTCAGGATGAATCAGGACCTTTGTCCTTCCCCCATGCCAACATATAAAGTCTCTAGACTTTCCTCAGAAACAGTCTTGAGGCTAGGTGCTGTTGCTCATGCTTGTAATCCTAGCTATGTGGGAGGCAGGGACTGGCAGGATCATGGTTTGAAGTCAGCCAGGGCAAAAAGTTCAAGCCAGACTGGATATGGTGATATGCCCCTATCATTCCAGCTACTTGAGAAGCATAAATAGAAAGGAGTCATGATCTAGGCTGGCCTGAACATAAACATAAGACCCTAGTAGAAAAATAATTGAAGCAAAAAGGAATGGTGGTGTGTCTCAAGTGGTAGATCGTCTGCCTAGCAAGTGCAAGGCTCTGAGTTCAAAACCCAGTAATGTCAAAAAACCAGCCTTGCTATATGTGCTATGACTCAGTATTTATATCCCACTGGGATGTACTTTTGATACACACTTTTGCTGTTGCCCAGATTATTAATTCGTTCCTCCTTTCCTCTTTCCTTACCTTTCTTTCTGCACGTGTGCTGTTTATTGTGTCCTTGACCCTGTTAGATGTTGGGCATAAAGGAATGTTGAAAGTAGATAGGGTCTGTGGTCACTATTCTCTTGGAATCTACTGTTGAATATAAACTTGGACTTTGTAAACACCTTATGGGTACTGTAAAGAAAAGAACAGAGACATAGTAGAAAGAATAATTTGAATGGAAGGGCAGAGGCTAATTCACTTGAAGCTTGGGCAAGGCCTTTCTGTGGAAATGGTAATTAAACTGTGGAATGAATGAGTTAGCCAGGCAGAGAATGGAGAAGGAGCAACTAAGAAGGAACATGACAATGGGAAGCCTTTAGGATGTGTAAGTCCATAATAGTATTTGGTACATGGTGGACCTTCATTATTTAACACCAGCAAAGACAACTGTTCCGGTAGGAATAAGGATTCTTTATGAGATACTTAATAGACAACTCATTTCTATTTTATTACTATTTATAGGAATCAGAGGCTCAGAGAGCTTAGGAAAAGTTGCCTGAAGTGGTATAGCTAGTAATTAGCACAGCAGAAGTTCAGCCCCAGGTTTTTCTAACTCTAGACCTCCTCTGTTCTTACCTCTGCTCGGTCTCCCAAGTTTTTAACTTTAGTCATCTTAATCCTCATTTTAATATTTGAAGATCAGACTATGTATTAATTTTTCACATTTGTATACCAAAATTAATGACCCATTCCTGTACACTAACTTTTAAGTTGTTTGTGGTTTTTCATAATTTTGGCTAGTTTTGCAGTTGACATGACTTTTGACTTTTTTTAAAGTCATTCTTTGCTGTCCAGCTTTGAACCTGAACTCTCTGCAGTGCTGTGTTCTTATCAGCAGAGGGCAGCCCTTGGATTCTGATGCAGTCCTCTAGCACTTTTGGTCTGACTTAAATCAGAAAGTATTAACAGCTGATGGAAATTTAATGTCTTTTTAATGAGTGCTTACTGTATCTAGTTTACATGATAAGTATATCTGCATTTGTTGTAAGTAATGGTAGTTGTATATAATCTGAAATTGTGGAGTATAGCTGACTGAAACAAGAATTTAATCACATGTTCACTGGACTAGATGTATTAATACAATAAGAAACTAATTTGAAGCTTTATTAAATTTTTTACAGGATAATAACACATATATACCAGGAATTTTTAACCTGAATATGATTTATATCTTCCTTCCCAAGTATGTTATTAAGGCATAGGCTCAGTGAATACAAGAGTTACATCCAGAACACTATCTTTTAATTATGAAAAGGGAAAAAATTCAAAGAAAAAAATCAACTTGATACTGAAGCTCTTCCTCTTTTTTTCCAGGATCCTGGAGCAGGAGGAGTACCTTAGGGGAGGAGAAGATGGTATTTTTGGACCCGGATACACAGAGGACTCCACCGATGTATACAGCTCCCAGTTTGAAACCATCTTGGACAACACTTCTTTATACTACAGTGCAGAGTCTCTGGAGACATTATACTCAGAGCCTGAGAGCTGTTTCAGCTTTGAAATGCCCCTTACCCCGATGATACAACAGCGCATTAAAGAAGGCGGTCAGTTCTTGGATAGGAGTTCAGCAGGAGGACAACAGGATGTCCTGAGCGTCTCGGCAGATGGTGGGATAGTGATGGGCTATTTCAGCGGGATTACCAATGGGCTGAGTGATGCCAGCAACTCCGTCTATGTGAAAGGTGCCCCGGAGATTGCTTTCTGGGCAAGGTACTACTCCTGCTTTCATTATTTCATGGTGGCGTTTTTGTAGTATTTTCACCTTGGGAAATCTGAATGTGGAATATAGTTTAAAAGCATCTGGCCAGCTTTTGTGATTATAAGGAAATGATGTGAGTAAAAAGTAATTTGAATTTTAAGGGCAGGCAAGGTACATCTTAGTGATTGTCAAATTGGCATTCTCCTCTCTGGTGTTTCCTAGATTACACGTGTGACTGGATACTGAATAAACATTGGTGGCGATGATTAAGCATTTGCTCTGATGATGCAGTTCTGGTGGCAGTCACATGGTGCTGTGAAAGAACTTTAGTCTGACACTGACATTTGTTGATGACATGGCGTGGGTTGTTTGAGTGGCCCACACATTCCTTAATTGTAAATTGAAGGTGTTGGAATAGATGGTCACTAATGTCTCCTTCAGCCTTTTTTTTCCCTGAGGTGCTGTTCTGTCTGCTGTCCTTTTCGTTTCTGAAATTGGAAGAAAGATCTACTATGGATGTTTGATAGAACTGAGACCTTGGCAAGGATATAAGTATTTTTTTTTTCTTTTCTATTTAATGTCTAACTCTATTTGGGAGAGAATGGCAGCTTATATAGGCTACATGTACTATACCTGTCATTTAGGGATTCCTTTTTTGCTTATGGATTATCCATCATTTCATCTTTCTTGCCCATCATCTTCAGGTCATCTACCTGTCATTTATCCTCTCCATCAATGGGCAGAGAATGCTAAACTTGTAACTTTCATGAATTTAGTTTTGGTATATTTTTCCGGTATGGGTGTGTGTGTGTGTGTGTGTGTGTGCGTGTATTGGAGAGAAGGTTAAATGGGGATAAACTATTTTAAAGCTATATAAAAAATGTCAGTGCTTCTTTTCAAAAGTCACTATCCATTTTATAGGTTCCTAGTGAACGTCTCTCTTTGAACAGTTTGCCTGGTGTTGGCAGTTTCTATAACCAGCTTGTAGGTTTGTAGTTCATAGGATGGGAAAACTCAAGACTGACACATTATAACATTGTGGCTGTACACTTCCATGGAAGTGGTTGGGATAGTGGTTGTCTTACTGGGGCACAGTGAATTAATGAGAAGAACACAGGTCTCAAAGCACAAGGCTTTTGTCTGAATCAGCTTGGACAAACCACTTGTTCTGTCTAAAACCTCGTTTACTTATTTGCAAAACAGGAGTATTGATATCCTGTGCGCTGAGTGGCAGGAGATTTAACGGGTTAAGCATCTAGCAGTGCCTGGCACCAACTAGGAGCTTGAGTAGAAGTTTGAGTCTGAGTTGGTTGAGTGATGAGTCCTTGCTTAAATCTAGGGGTTTGTCCTTGAGTGTGTCCCTGAAGGAAGGGTGTTCCTCAGGGGAGGCATCTCTGACATGGGAGTGTGCCTGGGAGCAGCCTGTCCCTTAGCGGGAGGCCACCTTGGTTGGGGTGCCCTGATAGGGTAGTAGGCATCCTGAGATGGGGTGTCCCTCAGTGGAGGGTGCCACTTTAGTTCTTTTGCTTTATCATCATCCCTGGGGACTGATTGTAAATTGTAATAAAATGCCACAGCATAGGGACGCAGACAATATCCTTGCAGCTCCAGCCCAGCTTTTTGGGGAAGCTGAAGTTGCTTTTATTATAGACTAAAAACAGGTCTCAGGAGCTGAGGTAGTTTGGACTGGGACATAAACCACTCTCTGAGGTGGTGTGGGTGGTAAAGCTTTACCATAAAAGATACAGGGAAGATGTGTCAGTGAAGGGAAGAGTCAGGCATCAGTGAGTCATCTCATTCTCATGAAGGGGATGAGAGAGAGGTTCATTAGCTTGTGCACCGATAGGAAGTAGTCATCATTTGGACATCTCGGGCACTAGTCACTACTATGGCCAGAGTTCAATAGTTAGAGGGAATGCTGCAGTAGGACATAGTGTTTTAGCACCTGAGATTTAGCCAGTGGTGTCATTCTGACTGTCTCTGAGTAGTCAAACCATGAGCTCCTATCTAGTGGTAAAAGTAATGAAGAAGTGTCTTATTAGAGATGAGCCAGGTGAACTTCTCGCCAACATTGACCCTCCTCTGTAGGATTCCCTACTGGTGGTCATTCCTTCCTTCCATGAGTTCTTCCAGTGACTGGGACAGACTGACTTGTGTGGACACTCATTTTGTGTTCTTTGAGTTGGTGCAACATAGTAAGTAGTTATAGGGGATGGAGTTTTATTTGGTTGTATATGTCTCTATTCAGGGTTTATAAAAGAAAAAAAGGACAGGCATAAGGATTTTAGGAAGTTTTAAAGAAACTAGAAACCTTATTTTTTTCTTTAACCTCCTCTGCCTTCTTTAGAGAAGGTACAACTCCAGAGAAATTGTGCTAGCCTTGTGGGTTGAAGAAATATATCACTTTACAGCTTTAAGGGGGCCTTAGATAACCTTATCTTATAATATCTGTTTGTTAGGGAGAATTACCCAAAGCCACATGACTTTCTAGTGACAGATCTTGTACCTCATTTCACATTGCCTGACTCCTAGACAAGGTCCTTCCACTCTTCTAAGCTGCCTGGTCATTTGTATTGTTTTTTCTTTAGCTCTGCTTCCCTCATGCCAGATGTCTATAGATCTAGAAGTCTGACTTAGTCCATTTTTAGAAACTAAGTTCTAAATGTACAGCTGGTTGTTTTTGTTGGTGGCAGATTGTGTGTGTGTGTGTTGTTGAATTTGAGGAAAAATTTATCAAGTCATTAATAAACATGTTTCCATAAAATTTTAAAGCAATCAATGAACATCCTTTTAAAATCTCTTCTGCATTAAAACATCCTCCTGCAGAGGGAAGGAAGTAGACAAAGGTATTGAGCCTGGTAAGGAAGTTCAGATTGATGAGTACACGATAGTCATTTTAATTGAATTCTCTCAGACAAACACTGTGGGGCAGTTAGAATTCAAAGAAAAGAATATTTTTAAACTTTATTAATAAATGTGATATTTATAAAAGAGTGATAAATAAAACAAGTACACATGCCTGACATTCCATCTCTGTTCCCTGGCCTTTCCTGTTTCCTTGGTTGTGGGCCATGGGCCTGATCATATTAGCTAATGTAAACTCTGAGAAAGGCACAAAAAAGGGGCAGTAAAGCTGAGTTTTCCCCTGATAATGTTTTTTTGATAGTCCATAGGACATTTGAGGAAACTAAGTCCATTCCTATTGAGATACTGATTTTAATGTATAAAGTGTTAGTAGAAAATACTGTGAGATTACTTTAGTTAGCCTCTAAATATACTTTTGTATTTTATGTAGTCCATAGATTTTATTTATTTGCTAAAGACATGGTGCTGTAGTCTCATAATGGAGAAAGGAACTATTAATGTTCTCATTTTTCAGACAAGTGAACTGGCACAGAGAGGTTAAGTAACTTGCTGAAGGTTGCACAGTTAGTGGCACACATAGCACTTAAACATAGGCATCAGGCTCCAGAGCTTGACAAATTAGACTCTTTAGTCATGTGTATAAGTGGATTTCATGACAGATCCTAGAACAGGACCAAATAGCTTGAACAAAACAAAAATGTATTTGTTTTCGTATTGCGTAGATATATTTTAAAATCCTTTCCTATTTCACTGTGTCTTTACTTTGTCATTACAAGTTATTTCAGTGTCAGTATTTGCTGATGATTTCTTTTGAGCACAGGATGACATCATTCTGTGTTGTGCTGCATCTTTAAAGATAGTAGAAGTGGTTGGGAGTGGTGGTTAGGATGTTGGACCACTTGAACATCTTCCTTTCCTCTTCTTGGAATAGTTTCCAGTCTTGGACTTAGCTATGCTTTGCTGACCAGAGGGAGATCACTCTTCCCTGCTACTTTCCTACCTGAGTCCCCCAAATCTGTAATATTTAGCATCAGGTTAGGAAGGACATTGTTTTGAATTTATGTTGCTATTTACATTTTAAAATATTACATATCTTTGTGATATCAGGTAGATCACACTTTGAAAGTCAAGACCCTTTCCGAATTCTGGACCTAGTCTGGCCAGGAATAGTTACATTCTTCCAGGTGCTCTATTGACCAGGTTGCCGCATGTCAGTCAGGAAATAGCTCACCCTGCATCGTAACACAATATTTTAATGAAGAAGGGAAGAGTTGCATCCCCTCCCTTCATGGTCCAGCTCATTGCACTCAGGCCCACAGGGGGTCAGCGGTGCTGTGTGAAGTCCAGTCACATGGCTCCAAAATTAGAAAGGATAATTAGAGACTTACAGTTACACATGTTCTAATGGGTTCCTTTGTGTCTGGGTGCTTCTCTCTCTCCAGCCTATCAGCTGATGACCACAACTCCAATCAGTAAGTTCCGACCTGAAGACTGCAAGGCACAGATGTTGTCATTGTGACCATGAACTGAGCCGAATATTGTCCATTTCTTTGAGCTTGGGTTTGGACAGAGGAAAGAGGGATAGCAAATATAGTAGTATGGCAGGAACTTCTCTTCTGGTTCTCTGAACTGTGTGAAACTGCTTTTGAAAATCACCTTTCTAGTGTAATAGATACACTTGCTATCCCAACTTCCTAGGTTTTCTTTCAGTATTGCTCAGAATACGGAGTGCAGCAGAAGAGGTGAATTACATCTGTGTGCAGCTGATGTGCCTGAGGAGAGTGCTTCAGTGTTCAGCCCACCCTGAATTTGATATTGACAGTCCTGGTGTTCTGCCTTCCTCCTCTTTTCTCCCCGTCTCAGATGGAATGCTGGTGTTTAGAACTATTCCCTTTTGTCTTCAGTTTTTGTCTTTCTTTAGTGTTTTTTTGCTTCGGAAGAAGTCACATGAATAATGGTGATACAGAAATTTGTTAAAGTGTGACTTCAAAAATTTTTCTAGCATCCCAATTTAAAACCATTTTAAATGGTTTTTAAAAAGGCACCTTAATATGCATGAATATTAAAACAAGAGAAAAATAGTGTTGGTTACAGTTGGTGACATAGTGAAATATTTTGATTTGGTGAAGTTGTTTTTAGGTTGGGCTGCCCATGGAGCTCCCACCTTGTCGTCTTAAGCTCTGCTGCCTGTCGTAGGTCATTAGTGGGTGGCTGTGACTGTAATATAATCTCTTTAATTTTTTTCACTTATGGTTTAAAGTATGCCCTTCAGAAAAGGAGCTTCTCATTTTTCTCTTTCTAGTTTCCTGAAGTAGTTGTAATTGCGAAGTTTATTTATTTTTTTTATTACCACAAAGAAGGTCCTTTGTGGTGCTGAGGGATGGGAGCTCTCCTAGATTTCATAGATAGTCAGTTGTACTTGGTTTTGAATCCTGCCTCTGTTACTTACTAGGTATGTAATTATGAATACATATATAAAATCTAGGAATCCAAGTATAAAATAGTATTAATAATACCTATTGTAATGGGAGGGGGAGCAAATGAGATTAATCAAGTGATTTAGTGGCCTAACGATTTATGACACGTTGTAGGGGATAATGAAATGAAATTAATTCTAATAATAGTAGTAACCTGGAGGAGAATCATCGTGTGACTCTGCCCTGTGCTCCAGCTGCCATCAGCCTCTGAGCTGCCCAGCACCTAGTCTTTCTGGCTGTAAGCCTTATTTCTGGACTTTCTGCAATATCACTTTCCTTTCATAAGGTGCAGTGCACTAGGGTGGTGTGGAATATATGAGGATTGCTGGCAGCTTGATCTTGGGTAGGTCTTTCTTTCACCCAACTTTTGATTCCTTATTAGGTAAAATGGAAACAACCTTACCTACTACCTTACAGTTTTATTGTAAGAATTTGCTGAGTTCTAGTTTGTCAATATTTATTTTAATCCTGTCATGGATTATGCAGTTGTTTCAGTAATAGTCTAAATAATAAGAAGAAAATATATGAGAAAACCTGGTAAAGAAAAAATTTACCACAAGGATTTGTTGAATGCTTGAACATAGGCCACTGAGGGTTAAGTCAAATGACTGCTATATTTCAAGCATGGATAACTCACCAAATCACGAGCAGTGAACCAGAGTTGGGTGAAGAAGTGGGTTTGTAGCAGAACATGTAGTGAAGCCAGCTTTTGAGGAAAGCAAGGGTCGGTTTAATGGAGGGCTGGTGGGAATGTGGAATTGAAGTTCACTGTCTTCAAGGTGAGACTTGCAGCTGTGGGAGTGAGCAAGCTCTCAGAGGGCCAGGATTGGGCTGAGGATGGGCCTGTGAGGTGCTCACACAGAAGAGCGCCCAGATGTGTCCTTCTAATTCTTAGTAGAAAATAACGTGTGGCAGGGTCGGTTTCCTGGTACCTGTTCTGTGCTTGCCTCCCTTCTTTACAATGGAGCGATCGTCAGGGAGCCCAGTATGGAATCTGAGTGCTCAGCTTGTTGGTTGTTCTTTTGGTGCCCTTCACAGAGCCATGGCTCTGGGGCTGTGGGCTCCCCATTTGTTAAGTGTCTCTTGTATACATTTCTGACAGCTTCAGGAAATGGTCCTGGATTTGAAGTAGATAGTTCCAAAGACATTCTGGATCTGCGGCTTAAATCTTTGAATGATCAAATATAATTCATTTGTTTGGTTGGTGAATATTGGTGTGAAGAAGGGTGAGATGTTGACCACTTGGATGATCTTTTATCAGAGACAACTTCCAATGATGAGGAATATTGGAGTTATAAGTTCCTATAAGGAAAATCATGGCTCTAAATAAAAACTGAAATGGTGGTAAACATTTTAATTGGTTGGGAAACACAACAGTCTTTTTATTCATGCATCAGTACAATATTTAACCTTAGAGGGTGTGATAGCATCCTCAGA